GGGGGGGAGGGGGGAGCATAGAGAAATAGCGAGACGGATATTTCATCGACCAAGATTTAGAAAATAATAAAATATTCTGAAGATAGAAAGATTATATGTCTATCTTCAGACACACAAATGGACACCAGGCCACCCATTACACCAAGAGCGTCAGAGGTCATGAGATTAGTGATAATCTAGTACACTAGATTACCAGCAGGTGCATCAGGTCACCAGGTCCGTGTCTTCCGTATGAACCTTGCAAGCTTGCAGTGGCAACTCCATTTGGATTTGGGTTTACAAGAAAAAAAAAAAAAAACACTCTGAAGACAAAATGACTCGGAGCATTGCAAGGTGGTTCGGTGGAGATGAGAGATCTGTTTTTTTTTTTTTTTTTTTTTTTTTTGGAAGGAATGGGTAACCCCCTTCTTGGTTCAATAGACAAGGGACATGCTACATCACCTGATTCACCTCTCTTTTTTTTTTTTCTTTTTTTCTTTTTTTTTTTCTTTGCTCCGATCTATTCGTGGGAGCAGCACGTGCTGGGAACCAGAGCCTCAGCGTCCCTTATGGAATGTACATCATTTCGAACATGAAAACATCAGGACATGACCACTATGCTGGAAACCGGGTCCAGCGTCCCATATCAGCTCTTCCTCCCTTTCCTAAAACCGCGGCCTGATATGCTACATTACCTCAGTTGGTACTCCCATAAACTGTTGAAACACAGACCCAAGTACGAATCCAGATGCGATCAGATGAACAAAGGGGAAACTACGCGGGAGTCGCAAAAATGAGTTATAATTGCACTATGGGCCAAGATACAATTTCAAATTGCACTCTGTCTTTCAGGTTAATCTTTGGACGAAGCATTCGGTATGTGGATTTTACAGTTAGGGTATAGAGGGCTCTTACAAAAGTTCTTCCTCCTTTCCCTGATGATGTTCATACCCAATTAATTTGATCAAAAGCTAGGCTACCAGAGTGGCCCGGGGCCACTTGCCCAGCCGGGCCAAAGAAAAAAAAAATAATAATAAATTAATAATAATAACTTTATTTTTTTTATTTTAAATTTGCTAACGAATTTCGACGTGACCCTGAGGCATACGTTGTTCAGTTTGTTTTTCTGCATAACATAGTTTTTTTTTCGGGATATTTTTTTTTTTTTTTTGCTAGGACCTCCCCTGATCCTTGCATGGCCGGGCCGTCCGGGAAAATAGGGTGCCCCGGGCGGCCCAGCTGGTAGCCTAGATCAAAAGCTAATTGTGAATCAGAGTACCTGGTCTAAAGGCTAGCCATGTATTATTTGAATTTATTTCTCTGTAATATCCGAATTGTATAAATCTGGCAAACTTTTACCCACTTAGCATCCCCTTCTTTCTTTGGAAGGAATTCATATCCTTGGGTGAGTTCAAGAAAGGATAATAGGATGTACCCATTGGGAAGTATATCCGGCACATCATCGACTATTTGTGGTTGATTCCTAATGATCACTCAATCATTGATTGGGTTTTTAGGCTTTTTCCTGAGCACCTTTACCCATTCAAGAGGGATTAGCTCTATGATTTGTTTTAAGACCTCTACTGGGTGATAGCAATAGGGCACGAGTCTTTGTAGATGTAAAGGAGATATCCAATCATTTGAGTCTTGGTCCCAAATATAGTTTATGAACTTTAGGCCTTATTTTTGTGAGGTAGATTTTAGCCTCTATGATCTATCTACTCCTATTAGTTGTAGAGTCTGCTTGATCTGCACTCAGGATTTAGTTCGATACGTGACCGGGTTTTCTGGTCCAGTATTACTCCAGTGGTTAGGTTGGGGATACTTTCTAGCGACTTGGTGTTGGGGATACTTTCTAGTGACTTGGTGTTGGGGACTTTCTAGTGACTTGGTGTTGGGGATACTTTCTAGTGACTTGGTGTTGGGGATACTTTCTAGTGACTTGGTGTTGATCTTGTTTGTCCCTATAGTTCTGTGGCTGACTTGATTTGTTGTCAGTTCGTTTAGTGACACTTAATTCGTATGGGATAGGTTAAGGGGACAAATTCCTTCTTTGGGTTCAGACCTTAGCCCTAGGGCATATGTGGCCCTTAGGTATATGAGGTGATATATCACCTTACTTGTTTGTCAGATAGATCAGTCTGTATAGAACTTAGCCCTTAGGTATATGAGGTGATGTATCACCTAACTTGTTTGTCAGATAG